ACTAAATTTCAATATTAAAATAATATCTATACTTAATTTATTAGTTCTAATATATTGTTGGACGTAAACCATTATCATTTTAAAGATATAACTTTGGAACAATAGCTATAAAATACTTAAATTATTAATTTAAGTATCACATTACAGGGTCAACTTAAATATACATTGTAGTTTAACTTAAACAACCAAAAAAATATTTTGTAAATAGTTAAAAGTGATAAATTACAGTGTTTTTCTAATAATGATTATTGTTGGGTACAAAGTTATCCATGTATGACTTTGTAAATGGTTTGACTTTTGTAGACCCACTTGCATGTGGTGCTTTAGCCTTGTCACATGAGAGATAGAGAGTGAGAGAGAGACATGTAAACACATCTATATAAGGTGGGTTCATACCACTTGTAGATGTGTGCTTGAGAGATGTAAAATCGAGTGTGTAAGTGTGTGTTATTTATGTAGATTTAGATCTAGATACCTTTTTGTAACACCATACATAATCGAATGCATCTCTTAAACACCGAAATCACCATGTTCTTTGTGTGTTCTTTAATTCCGCATGCCAAACCAATGTTCATAATTCACTACATTTGGTATCAGAGCGGGTCTTCGAAGATCAACATGATTTTTTGAAGAAACGGTTCTCGATTTGGCTAAATTTGTCACAATTGGAACATTTTTGGTGAGTCTCTCTCTATGATCTCTCTAAATCTTGTTAATTCGTGCGTTGCGTTCTTGATTTTTGATCGTTTTGATTCATTGGATTAAATTTGCTTCAAACCCCTTTGATAATCCAATAATTTTTTTTAAGATCAAGCCTAAAATCAAAATAAATTTCGTTATTGTTCATTCGATCCAAAAATATCGAGCCGAAACATTAATCTTGAGTCGTTACTGTTCATATCGTACAATTGAGCCCAATTACAACTGAGTAATTCTTTTATCCGATGAACTACATTCGATCATTCTTGGTTGTTCGATTTGTGAGTTGTTGTTGGTAAATCGATCACATTTGATTAACAGATGTTTTGATTCATTGGATTAAATTTGTTTCAAACCCCTTTGATAATCCAATAATTTTTTTAAGATCAAGCCTAAAATCAAAATAAATTTCGTTATTGTTCATTCGATCCAAAAAATATCGAGCCCAAACATTAATCTTGAGTCGTTACTGTTCATATCGTACAATTGAGCCCAATTACAACTGAGTAATTCTTTTATCCGATGAACTACATTCGATCATTCTCGGTTGTTCGATTCGTGAGTTGTTGTTGGTAAATCGATTTCATTTGATTAACAGATTATTGAAAATCGACATTAAAATTTTTGATTAATTGATTGCTTGAGGTCGAAATCGAATCCGATAAGGTTTCTAGTTTATGTATGGAAAGAAATTGGGAATGAGTTGAAGTGAAAATTCAACGATGATTTTGTTTTTATACAATTTGGAGTTGATTTCGTTTCATCATCTCTATCATTTGATCAACTTTGATTATTGAGTTGGAATTGTGAATCAGTTGGGTATGATTTATTCTATTCCCAAGCTGATGATGATCAAGTAATTGTAGATCAAATTCTTTGATTTGGATGAAATTGATCAAGAACAATCAATTATTCTCTGATTGATTTGAAAATCGATGATAGATTTGTGGATTTGTGTTTGTCAATTGATGAATTGAAGAGTCAAAACAAAAAGTCAAAGTCGTTGTTCTTGGTTCAACTTGTACGCATGTGTCACTGAGTTGTACAATTGGATTATCATCGTCTGACTTCAACTACGTATCGATTGGAATAAAATCGAGTTGCTTGGTGTTTTTGATTGATGTCTGATGCTTAGAGTCAAGTATCGATATCTTGGAGACTGATCGATTTCGAAGGGTTGGAGGGTTCTTATGTGAAATCGATTTTAAAGGCTTGATGTGTTGATGGTGATGTTGGTCGGTATTTGGTTATTGATGATAATTGACGAACATGGAAAATTTGATAACGAACAGATGAAGCGAGATAGTCAAAGCTTAAATCGATTGAAGTCAAAATAGTGTTCGATTATTGAAGAATCGCTTGATATCAAAATTTGATTCAAGGTGTCTAGCATCAATTTCGACTGATGTTAAAGTTAAAGAATCATATTTCGAAATTTGATTTTGATGTCTAATTGAATGGAAGTCGACTGGGAAAAAGGCAGTTCAATTGTTCACAGTCGATGGTTTGTAGGTGAACTAATATCGACTGGGGTTATTAAATTTTCAAAAGAATTGATGATTTGGAAAAGCAAAGTCAACTGAAATCAATTGATGTTTGGATTTCGAAAGTTTGGGTTATGGAATCGATTTTGGGGCTAAAGATCGAATGTTTAGATTTCTTGATGATTGAGCTGTTGTTCGATAAAAAGCGAAGCTGAATGATTAAGATGCTACTTTTCATGATTAAGCATTCGACATGCTTCGATTTCGTTAAAATGATGCTGAAAAATTTCGTTATATTGATGCTGGAAAAAGAAAGTTTCGATATCAACGGTGTGAGACTTCGTTACCTGATTAACGAAGTGAAGTGAAGATGAAGTTTCATTATATGCATTTATTTTCGTTAGATTGGGGAAGAAAACAATCATTTTCGATTTTGGTCCCTGCATTTTAACGAAGTAATTTTCAACAGTTTGGAAGACAAAAGGAAGAAGTTTCGAAAATGGTCCCTGCTGTTTCCAAATTTTGATAGTTTTTACCCAACTTCGACAATTGGGGTATTTTTCGAATGTTTGGAGGACAAAAGGCAGAACTTTCGAAATCAGTCCCTGAAGTTTCGAAAGTTTGGCAGTTTTTGCACAAATTCGAAAACGGACTAATTTTGCTGAGAAATTGAAGAATATGCATTTCAGGCCCCTGCAGTTAATGCGAATTGACGCTTTCTACCCAGTTTCGTAAATGGGGGAGAGTTTCGCATTTTTGGCTGTTGTGGGCGCACCGGATCACTGCAGAATTTTGAAATTGACAATTTCTACCCATTTTTGAGAAATTTTGTCAAAAGCGGTCCGTGAACGAAGCTAAAAATTGGAGATTTTTTCGGTTTTCCGGATTGAAGCAAAAAGTTTATGCCACATGTTAAGGGGGAGTTTTGACAAGAAAAATTCCGAATAGAGCACGTTCTCTTTCCTTGATGGTTTTATAATCAAATTTCGATTATAAAAAGGGGGAGAAATATATACGGAAATTCGAAGTTGAATTTTTCATATTAAGCGGATTTTAAGACCGAAGTGACCTCGAGTATTGGAAGTTTATGAAATGATTCGATTGGAATTTCGGAAGTGATTTCGGTTCGAGTTGGGTTTGGAATTATTGAAGATTTTTGGGGTGTGTTTTTATGTTCAACTTTAGGGTGATTATTTGGAGTTTGAGAAGCTCTTGATCATTCATTGATGCTTGGTTCGTATGGTCTCACATCCTAGAACCCAAATTGAAGAATCATGGAAGAATTGAAGATTTGAAGTTCATCTCTACATGTGTCACGTTTGAGGCTCGGATCGCGTAGTTGCTCGATTTTGGAAGATTTGAAGTGGGTCATCCATTCCTAATTTTGAGGGGGAGAATGTTGGGTACAAAGTTATCCATGTATGACTTTGTAAATGGTTTGACTTTTGTAGACCTACTTGCATGTGGTGCTTTAGCCTTGTGACATGAGAGATAGAGAGTGAGAGAGAGAGAGACATGTAACCACCTCTATATAAGGTGGGTTCATACCACTTGTAGAGGTGTGCTTGAGAGATGTAAAATTAAGTGTGTAAGTGTGTGTTATTTATGTAGATTTAGATCTAGATCCCTTTTTGTAAACACCATACATAATCGAATGCATCTCTTAAACACCAAAATCACCATGCTCTTTGTGTGTTCTTTAATTCCGCATGCCAAACCAATGTTCTTAATTCTCATCAATTATAAGTTGGTTAATAAGGTTAAATAAATATCAAACCTAAAGTGTAATCATAAATAAACTAAATTTCAATTTTAAAATAATATTTTTACTTCTACTTATAAAGTTATGTTTTTAACTTTTAACATATTATACTTAATTTATTAGATTTAAAATGTTGTTGTATGTAAACCATTATCAGATTAAAGCTACAACTTTTGAACAGTTTTGACAATATATTTAAATTGTTAATTTAAATATAACATTACAATGTAAACTTAAATATAAATTTCAATTCCACTTAAAAAACGAATAAATATTTTGTAAATAGTTAAAAGTGATAAATTGTAGTACTAAATGCAAAAATTAAATTATAATCTCAATTTAACTAAAATATTTCCTAAAGATATTTTTATAATCGTTAAAAGTTTACAAATAAGTAGCTTAAAATAACTTACAATAACAATAGTTAAAAATAACTCTATATAAATGATTACATTGTTACCTTTAAAATCAAAAAACAATGTTTGATGTTTTAAATATTTATAATGATAGAATTTAAAACATCAAGCAAATAATTTTAAAAAAAATTAATTAACAATAACAACAATTATAAATAACATTAAACCATATATTATATTTAATTTTATTCATGTGTAACTCGCGTACGTAGACGTCATTCAAACGATTGAGATTATGCAGTTATAATAGATGCACATATATATTATCATATGATTCAAAATAATTAATATATTATATCAATTTAATATACGAATTATTATATCAAATTTAAAAACGTTAGGTGTTTCTGCACAACGCGCAGAAGATAGATAAATTTTTTGTTAAATTGTTGGCCCACAAAAATAGTTCTTCCCATTTTAAAGCCAGCTGCGGCTGTTTTTATTATTTTAATAACAATAAAAAGTCAATGTTAATTATATAAACAATAAATTAAAAGTTTAATGGGTAATAAATATATGCTATTTAATGATGGTAATAAATTCAGAGAGAATAGGCGGTGGGATGAGGACAGAGGACTATGTATAGATAATGATCAAATGAACAAAGGAGAATATCAGTGATCATCTTCCACATTGGAAATGGCACTTGAAGTCAACACCTATCTCTATATTTCTATTTCAATCCTTCTTGCTGTGTATGTGTATCTCCTAACAAAACATCTACTTCACAAGCTCCATCGTCTTCCTCCTACTCCTTTTCCTATACTCCCTCTGATAGGCCATCTACACCTCCTAAAAAAACCTCTTCACCGATCGCTATCCAAGCTTTCCGACCGCCATGGCCCAGTACTTTTCCTCCGCTTCGGATCACGTCGTGTTCTTCTTGTTTCATCGCCTTCCGCCGCCGATGAATGCCTTTCCAAGAACGACGTCGTGTTTGCCAACCGACCTCGGCTTCTCAGCGGGAAGTACTTCGGGTACAATTACACGAGCCTCCCTTGGGCTCCTTACGGTGACCACTGGCTGAATCTCCGCCGTATCTCCGCCTTGGAGATCCTCTCTTCCACTCGCCTTGACTCCCTCTCTCGCATCCGCCTCGATGAGACCCGAACGCTGGCACGTCACCTGTTTTTGTCCGCCGTTGAGAATCCAGATCAGATATTGGATCTGAGATCGGAGTTGTTTAGCTTCATGTTTAATGTAACAACAAGGATGATTGGAGGAAAGAGATATTATGGACCGGATATCGGGAAATCAGAGGAAGCGAAGAGGTTTCGTGATGTAGTGGATGACACGAAGCAGGTGAACGCACAGTCCAATCTTACGGATATGGTGCCGATTTTGCGGTGGTTTGTCGCCGGAAAATTAGAAAACAGGTATGCGGCGGTGCAAAAGAGACGAGATGACTTCATGCAAGCATGGATCGATGAATTCCGTGATGATCATTCGGTTACTCCTGAAGGAGAGAAAACATTGATTCAAGTTCTACTATATCTACAAGAAACAGATCCAGAATACTACACAGACAAAGAAATCAAAAGCCTTTCACTGGTATATATCATAATTAAATCATAAATGTTTTTCACAAGTAATCCGCCATTGACATAAGCTTCATAACTTTTTGTTTTTCCTCATTTGATTAGGCTCTGCTACATGCCGGAATAAGCACTTCAGTGGAGACGATGGAGTGGGCAATGTCACTTCTATTTAACAATCCACACGTTCTAACAAACGCACAGAAAGAAATCGACAATCTCCTTGGATCCGATCGTTTAGTCGAAGAACCAGACTTGTCAAAGCTTCCTTACTTGCAGTGCATCATCAAAGAGACCCTAAGGATGCATCCAGCGGCGCCATTACTTCTTCCTCATCAGTCATCTAAAGATTGCATGGTGGGAGGTTATCATGTCCCACAAGGTACGATGTTACTGGTGAATGTGTGGGCTTTACAGAATGATCCCCGGACATGGGATTCTCCGGAAGAATTTAAACCAGAAAGGTTTGAAGGTAAGGAGATGAATATTACTATTAGGAACGTGAAAGAGGGGTTGACGATGATGCCATTTGGCTCCGGCAGACGGCGGTGTCCCGGCGAGAACTTGGCGTTGCGGATTATGGGGTTAGCGTTGGCGTCGATGATTCAGTGCTTTGATTGGGAACGTGTTAACGAGGAGTTGGTGGATATGAAGGAATCGAATGGGGTCACTGCACCCAAGGCCCACCCTCTGATGGCTAAGTACAAGATTCGATCAATCGTTGTCGGACATTTATCTCAAATCTAATTAACAAGGAGGCTGTTTCCAATATGAGAGCAATGTATAACTTCTTGAAAAGAATTTCTTAAATGAAATTTTAACATGAAGTATGTTTTTCAAATTGATTTTCAATCTATTAATCATGTAAAGCTTCAATGACGGATCCAGAAACTCTCGCAGGTTGGGGCATTAATAATTGCTATATGATCTAACTAAATTTAAGAATGAGTCAAAAACGGGTGTGCTCGAGAATTTGGTATTTTTTATATTAATGGGCGTGTTAAAAAAATGTGACAAAAAGGCAATCTATTCGAATTTCAAATAATCAATCTTTATAAGGGGATTAACTCTTAGAAACGGGAAAAAGTAACACGGCCTTCTTATGAGACATATATTTAATATGAAATAATCACTTGAGTAATTTTAACTAGTTTAAGTAAATAAACTTAAACTATGACACGATATGATGCACAAATCAAACGGGTAAAGCTAGGGTCAAATTTCTTTAACCCGTTTAGTGTTTCAACCTGAAACGTCACGGTATGTTTACAAGGTCTAACCCCTAAACCGACTAACCTGCCATAAACCCGACATGTAATAATATGTAATATATGTAGAACTTAAGATTGTCTATCCAAAATAGTCTTTATAGAAAGAGAGAGATTTCAACATATATAGTCACTTATAAGACTGTGTCGCACCGATATGAGATACATTAACACTCCCCTCAGAGCCATAAGTTCGATAAGGATATACAAGGATGTGTTGAGCCACGGGTATGCGAGACGCCGACTCTGGTACTATGTAAAACATATGCGGAGTCCAAGATTGTATCTCTAAAAGAGTCCTTATGGAGAGAAAGGAGACTCCAACATATATAGTCACTTATAAGACTGTGCGACACCGATGTGAGATATACTAACAAAATGAGCTTGAGTAAGATATTAAAACTCGTTCAAGTAACGAGTTGACAGGGCACAACACGAAAGTTTAACAAGTAATTTTTGGAAATTAAATAAGATAAATTACAATTTGGTAATTTCCTTTGTCCCATCGGTGGAAGAACTAAAAGATGGGTTTATAAGGCTTCTTTTGACTTAAGCCTTTAAAAGCTTTAGTAAAGGCTAAGGCTTAGGTCAAGCACACATGTGCGCCTAACCATGTCGTGGATGCAAGGTTCATAAAATGACACGATTTAAAGGCGTCCAAAAATCATCTTGCTTGATGAGCAAGACATCGTTGTAACATAAAGTGTTTTCACTTTAAAATTAATAAAGAAGAAGCTTTAGTTTACAAAAATATAAAGTAAAATTTTATTGCGTTTGAAAGTTATAATTTTATAAAGGTGACAAGAAAATAGCAGAAAACTAACAAATTAAGTGGGCAGTTGGCAACCATTAATGCTGTTAACCACATGGATTAAATGCTAACTATATCCTTTAAATGCAAATACATCAAATTTGTCAGGGGTGTTGCATGTCCTGTATAACTTATAAATAGAGGTATCAAGCCTCTCATTTCCTTGCATCTTTTGTATAAATCCAACCTATAAATAGAGGCATCAAGCCTCTCATTTCCTTGCACCTTTTTCTTCTAAAATCACTCTTTCTCCCCCTCTTGTGATTTCAGTCCCTCGTGATTTGAATTCTCGTTCTTGGTTATCGTTAGCGAAACATTGGTGTAACATCCATAAAATTCATGAAAATTTTTAAACTTTTTAAACAACCCAAAAATCATCATTGTTTACAAATTGTTTCCAAAACATGTATAATATCAGAGTTTGCCCAAAATCACAAAACAAACACGAGGAGGTGCACGATCACGCCTTCACCTTCCCGCGATCCTCTTAGGTACCTGAAACATAACACAAAACTGTTAGCCCAAAGCTTACTGAATTCCCCCAAAATACCAATACACAACAAATAATAAAATAACAATAACAACATAAGTAGGGGTGTTCACCCGGCGGTTCGGCTCGGATAGTAATAAAATTGTGAACCATGAACGCGAGGCGGGTACCTCACATGCACTAACCGAAACCGAACCGAATTGCTTAAAAAACCGAACCGAACCGAACCGTATAAACACGGGTAACCACAGTTCGGTTCACGGATAACCGCTAAATGTAAGCATTTAGTAAAACTATAAACTAAATATAAACCAATTATATATTCAAAAATAATTGTTCAACCAACGAGTAAATTAAATATGACTTGCGATTTGCCGATGTTGAACTTTAAGTGGATCATTTGTAGTTTAGAATAGATTCTTCACAAACTCTAAAATACTTTGGGTTACAATCACCTTCTGATACAAAGAAAATAAGAACATATATGGCGCTAAGTTTTCTTGTATTATAATCTAAAAAAATACGTCGCACAAATTGAAATAAATAAGCTAGATTTCTTTGTTTTCTATTCGCTTTATATATATATATATATATATATATATATATATATATATATATATATATATATATATATATATATATATATATATATATATATATATATATAACGGTTCGGTTCGGGTATCCGCGGATATCTAAATATCAAAACCGAAACCGACCCGTAGATACCCGGTTTTTTCGGTTTCGGTTTTTTTCGGTTTCGGTTTATTACGGTTTCGGTTTTTCCGGTTTCAGATTGGCCGAATCGGCGCGGTTTTTCGGTTTTGCGGTTTTTTCGCACACCCCTTAACAACATGCAATGGTTCCACAGTTAACAGACTAGATTACCCCTAAGCCCACAACATAAGTCTGACTTGCCCTTGGCCCACAGCTTATGTCTAGCTTGCTCACCGACCAACTAAGTCCTCCGTACAAGTCTGTCATACCCTTCCCGACCCTCAGCTCGTATCTAGAATGCTTATGAGCCCTCAATATGAGTTTAGCATGCTCTCCCTGGCCCTCAGCTCATATATGGATTGGTCCAGAGTTTGTTGGCTACCGCACGGAGCAGTACAACCACAACCCATCCCAGGCAATATGTCGACATATAACAGATAATAACATACACATCTAATCAAACAATATCGCAAGTAGTCCTACAAATCTACCAGACTAGCATATCAAAATTAGCATGCATATCTAATCCTTACTCAACATATCCACGAATATCAGGTTATCAAACCAATGGGTCGGCCTTGGTGTTGTCGATCCGTTAGTACAGTGAGGAAACACACCTCACACAGCTGAATCCCACTGAAAGTCTCTGATTGTTGGCTCACTGAAATCCCCGCACTATCACAACATAATAATCATCCAATTAATACTTGGATTACCATGTAAGTTAATAGTACATTACTAGGGTAAATGGCCACCTTACCCTTTTCCTTAGTTGGGCTAAGACCCAGCCCAAATCTTGATTCAAAAGGTCCAATCACTAAATAACCATTCAAGGCCCATAATTAGCCCAATTGTGCAAATTGGGCCCAACACCTACTTGGGTCTTATCCTAAGGTCCAATCCTTCACTTGGCCCCAAACATCAATACTAAGATGGTCTAATAAGGACCCAAGCGTCTGAGCCCAAAAAGGTGGCCCAAACTTGAAGCCCAAAATTGCAAAGCCCACAGACTGAGTACGTGGGGTGTACCCAGCTGTACGCTAAGCGTACTCGTATTGAGGCTTGTACGCTGCGCGTACAAGCTGCGTACTAGCTTGTATGTGTAACGTACTCCCCTGTTAAGCCGTTATTCCCATTAAGCCCTTAATACCTTAAGATAACGTCCCAAAACGTAGATCTGACTTTCTTGAGCTGGAATAACAAGTAAAGTTGCTAACTTTATGTTCATGCATGGCTAAATGAAGCTATTAAGCTTAGAAATGACTTAATAAATGTCTTAATGCATGCATGATGACTTATACCCTATAAAGTTGGCACCTTTATGCCTAGGAAGCCTCTAACAAGTTCAGATCTAATGAAATGATCCCTTTAAATCGTCCCAAGCCATCAATCCATACAAAAGGGACCAAAAGTGTGCCAAATCAACCCATAAAGAAAACTAGACATTGACAAGTCAAGTTTTGAACTTGATACCGTAAGAAGCTTGCAATGTGATGAAGGGTTTTGGCTCTCAAGTCTCTCACCAAGTTATGAACTTCCCTCTCTTCTAGGTTCTTCAAAGATGGACCAAATCACCACAAATTTCTCTTCAAGAGCTCAAAGATGCAAAAATAGAGGCTAAGGGGACGTTTAAGGTTTTCTGGAGGTTCAGGGACAAGAAATGAGGCCAACCCTAAAGATTAAGGATGAATATATAGGGTGCAACACCCCATTTTAGGGTTTCTAGAAGTCACGTGTATGCCCAATGTACATAAGCATACGCCCATCGTACGCACCCGGTGTCCCGATCCGTCTCAATATATCAGGGACTTAATTTTCCCCTCTTCCTGAAGAGTATCACACCTTTCCAAGGTGAGACCTTTAGTAGTACCATGTTGCTGAACTGAAACTCCAACTCGGATCGGCGCCGGTCGACATAGCTCTTCTGTCGACTCTGAGCAGTTTCCAATCTCTGTCTGATCTGCTAGATCATCTCCATGGTATGAAGGACCACTTTGGTCCGCCCTATAACTTTGAGACCAACCTCGCCCCAACAAACCGAGGTGCGACATCTTTGCCCATACAAGAGCTCGAAGGGCGGAACACCAATGCTGGAGTGATAACTGTTGTTGTAAGAAAACTCCACAAGGGGCAGGTAAGAGTCCCAGCTCCCACTGAAATCGATGACACATGCCCGCAACATATCCTCGAGGGTCTGTATCGTCTGCTCATTTTTCCTCATGGAACTTCTAAAAGAAACGGGTGGTGAACCGAACATCGCGGTCTGAAACAATAGAGACCGGAACCCCATGACGAGCAACGATCTCGCGAATATACACCTCGGCCAACTTCTCAGCTGAAGAACTCTCCCGAACTGCCAGAAAGTGAGCACTCTTGGTCAATCGATCCACAATGACCCAAATAGCATCAAAACCCTTTGCCGTTTTCGGAAACTTGGTGATGAAGTCCATCGAAATCTGCT